GCCAGCATATGAGAAGATATAACACTGGTCCAACATCTGCGAAGTTCTGAAACTAAAGAATTTCAAGCCAGAATATGAGAATATGTAACACTAGTCCAACACTTAAGAAGTTCTGAAACTAAAGAATTTCAAGCCAGAATATGAGGAAATGTAATACTGGTCCAACATCTGCGAAGTTCTGAAACTAAAGAATTTCAAGCCAGAATATGAGAAGATGTAACACTGGTCCAACATCTGCGAAGTTCTGAAACTAAAGAATTTCAAGCCAGAATATGAGAAGATGTAATACTGGTCCAACATCTGCGAATTCCTAACAATGAAAAATTTCTAACCAGAATATGAGAAAAGACGTACTATTTTTCAGTAAAGAAGCAATAAGTTTATCTGTAAAAAAAAAAAAATATTACAGTTACAAAAGTTGGTTAGGTTTACTGTTTCTTTATGTTTACGTATTTCTTTGTATATTCGTCTGTGATTTTTGGAGTCTCATATTTTAGCACGAGGAACAATTATTATTATATTACTTGCAGCTTCTTGGATCAGGACCACAAAGATGTATTCGGTATAGTGGTTGAATACAGCATCAAGGTCAAGTTGTTTCTGGGTGCACTGGGAGGGTAAGTATGGTGTTTTAAGATATCAAATTACTTTCGAGTGCGTGGATGAGAAGGCCATTCTGAAATTGGTACCACCTTGATTTTTTTTCTTTACAGTACCCGGAATATCAGATTACGAGTGTTGTGGTGAGGTAAAGTGTATTATTTAGACTAAATTTTACTTTAAAACTGCTATCATATTCTTCTCTGTGGTTCTGACAGAGTGATACAATTTTTTTCTTCCTTTTTTCTCTCTCTCCCCCACCCCCTCCGTGTGGCTCGGCGGTAAGTCTGAGGGTTTATAACGCTAAGAACCGGATTTCTCTCTCCGTCGTTCTTTTGTTACTCAATCCCTAATGACCTCATTAGATAATAACTGCATACCCTGCTCTGTTAAAGGTAATAATTGACTAACTTAACTGATTAAGTACTTGTTTCTTTCATTTCAAAGCCAAAAGTCTATTAAACAAAAAAAAAGCGGAACTGTGCTCCATTCTAGATGGTTTTTATGCCCCTTCTTAGGCAAAAATCCTAAAACAAAATAGTTCACGTACACTGTCGGAAGTTTCCAGCTACAATGGCAAAAATTACGGTAATTTAGCCAGCCAGTTCTGGATTATGGATGCTAACACACACACACACACACACACATAATGGATCATCTTTATATTAAGATACAATTAAAGAGCGCCACCACAACAAACAAAAAACAGAACTGCTCAGGTTCACAATCAGTTTGTTATACGTCTATCAAATCGACCAGATGTTTTTTGGTTGTTGTTGGGGTTTTTTTTAGGGGGGGGATGGAAGCACTGAAAAAGTAGAATAACTAACTCCTTATTAGAAAAAATAAGAATAAAAACACTTTCTAACTCGTGAATGAATATATTTCCAATAAATTAGCAATGTAAGAACACCACGATACTGCCAAATGAAAATAGTTCCCTATTTTTATGAACTCTAACGACAGATGGCACTGCGTCAGAAACAATATTAAGAATTATCTAAATTATACTCTCCAAAATAAATCCCAATAAAATTGTACAAGTAAATATAGGAAACGAAACATTACCGAGGAAATAGAATTGCTCCCGTCTAGGACCTAAGATAATAAATAAATAAAAAACTTTAATTTTCAATAAATAATGCTTCCATAATTATTTACTCAGAAAATTTTAGGGAATGAATTAAGCTTTATAATTTAGAATATCTTTCTAGTCATACTACAAAGAGACTAACATATCAGTAATTCAAATACAATAGTAAATGTTTATATATATACATATATTCACACACATACAGTATTGGAAATAATTATGGACACCCGTAAATGATACACGTATTGGAGCCATCAACAATGGGCAGTTGTATCA